GATATGTGGGGTCTCCCACAGGCCCAGCACACCCTGCAGGCGCTCCCCATGTAGGATGAACTGGAGAAGGTGGGGTACATCGCCCAGCTTCCTCTAGTGTGACCTCATTCTACGGCAATATGGCCTGTGGAGGCTGACAAGGAGCAAGGAAATGGGCGCTAATCAGGAGAGGTGGGGAAGGAAGGCAGCAGGGAGGGAAGGAGGGTGCAAGGCAACTTCATGCCCGGAAACTCAGGGACACAGTGACAGCCTCGTGGGGGACAGGGGAACACGGCCATCCTTCATGGTCTGTTATGGAATCTGTGGGCTGGGACTGGCCTGGAGATCAGAGACCTACTCCGCATGGCAGGGGCGAGGCGACTGAAGCCCAGCAGGGATGCAGAGCTCGGGATGGCGCTCAGTCTGGGGTCGGGCCACACCGTCTCGTGAGCAGTGGGGCCCAGGTTCTCTCCTCAGGCCTGAATCTGCCTTTTCCTTCCCAAGGCCTTCACGTGATTACTGTTGAACACTATTTCGAGTATGTGGAGGAGTCGGAAGAACAGATCAACAGTCTGCATGTAATTTCTCTCTTCTTTTGTGACGCTCTTCCTGAAGGACCTGGTCTCATGAAGGCAGACGAGGTCCTTGGGTCATCAATGTCTATAAAATCTCTGCAGCCCTGATCATGTATTTTCTTAGCATTGACCTGGTTTCTGACCCCCAGTCTACAGTGAGACACTAAAATTACAAATGATCCATAGGTATCACATGTAAAAATAGGTCCCTCGATCAGCAGCAATCAACCCAAGGACCAACCCAGTATCAACAGTTTTCAGCCCAGGAGGTAGGCCTACCCCTTGTACATTAGGCTTGTAGGAAGTCTGTCTGTAGTATCTAGCAACCAGCTCAGGACTTTAAATAACCCTTGTAACAGTTGGCCTAAAATGGCTATATTTATAAGAGCTTCCACGTTGGTCTCCATTCCCAACTTAAGACCAACAAGAGAAAGCCAAATATATACCCCTGACAAAAACAGAGGACGCCCAGCACCTGGACCACTCACTGCAGCTTCCCCCTGCCCATGGGGCCTTCCCATTCCCCACAATGACGGTTTCCCACTCCTCTCCCTGATTCTGAGTCTCTGCCACAACCCAAGTGATGGCAGTTGACTTCCTTGCTCCAACAAGCTCTGAATAAATATCCTTTGCTTCTTCTCACTTGGTTGGCCTTTGTTTACTGACAGTTCATCGTGGAGTCCTCCCAAGACCCAGAATGAGCTGTCCATTGCTGCAGACCCCAGCC